ACCTTCCCTATCCCACCCCTCTAGGTGGTCACAAAGCACCGAGCTGGTCTCCCTGTGCTAGGTGGCTGCTTCCCACTAGCTATCTATTTTACATTTGGTAGTGTATATATGTCCATGCCACTCTCTCACTTCGTCCCAGCTTACCCTTCCCCCTCCCTGTGTCCTCAAGTCCATTCTCTACGTCTGCGTCTTTATTCCTGTCCTGCCCCTAGGTTCTTCAGAACCTTTTTTTTTTTTTTTAAATTCCATATATATGTGTTAGCGTACGGTATTTGTTTTTCTCTTTCTGACGTACTTCACTCTGTATGACAGACTCTAGGTCCGTCCACCTCACTGCAAATGACCCAATTTCGTTCCTTTTTATGGCTGAGTAATATTCCATTGTATATATGTGCCGCGTCTTCTTTACAGGATTATAATTTAAGGGAGGATGAGGGTGGGGGTGAAGAGGAAGGATGACAGAACCCAGGACGGGTGGGCATTTTCCAGGCAACAGCTGCCATAGAGTCACCAAAGGGTCTTGGGGGCCAATGAGCAGGTAAAACACTTGGCTTTGCATCCACTCACTGACCAGGCCTACTTGGCAAATCGTTTAACTTCTGACCTTGTTAGAGAAAGTTTTTCTGGCACTCATTCAAGCAGCTGCAAAACTTTATTCAAGACTATTGCCGTAGGGGAGAGAGATGGGGCTCAACTTCAAATACAGTAAGGACAGCTGGGGATTTGTAGCCAAGGAGCAGAGTGAGGGGCAGTGGATAGAAAACTATGAAGAAGAGACCTCAAGGGCAGGGGGCTTCTTGCTAAACTGGCCTAACAGGATTCTTGCTAAAGGCAGTCCAGGGACTTAGACATCAAAGGTGGGAGATGGGGAACTTGATCACATATCGAGGGGTCGAGAGATTGTCTCTAACCTGAACTTAGCAGGGTTCTTGCTGAAACTGGACTCTGCGATGATGGACACGGAAGCCCAAGGCCATGGTCTCATTGAGAAGAAGGCTCAGAGGAGCCTCACTAAGGTTTGGTCAAGGAGGGCCTCTGTCAACCTCACCTTCCTCATCTGATCAATGGGGACAAAAATGCCCAATGCAACCCACCTTGTGATATAAAGTCAGCCCGAAGACGTCACGTAAACCCTGCATTGCTGAACAAATGGGAGAGAGGGTGTGTTGTAATGCTGTACCTCCTGCCCTCAGCAGAACCTATGACTCAGAAAGACCTCAGTGCACTTCTGTTCGAGTGTGGCACCCTCTCCTTGTGCTTGCTCTCTGCACCCTGTTTTATTCTAACTACATCCCTGGCACAGAATAGCTCAGTGGCGGTCAGCTGATGTGAAGAGGAAGAGGGAGATGGTGGCGAGGGGAACACAGCTTTAGGAATCAGTTCTGGAAAGAGTCTGCAGACAGAGGGCGGAATGCAGGGGGCATGGGGGCAGATGGCAGTGCCCAGGTCGTTTAGGCTGGTCCTTGTGCTAAAGGTTTCTCCCAATACCCTGACACAGTATTTGGAAGAAACCATTTGTCTCAATGAGAGCTAGTTTTGAAGCAGAGAGGAAAAGAGGAGTTATTGCAATGACAGTTTAATCCTTGGGGGAAAATCACATTTATATTCCCATTTTACATCACACTTTGAGATGAACACAAGACAAATAGAAAGAACCTTAAGGAAAATATAGATGAAATTTACATAATCTTGAGGAAGGGTTGGTAAGTGTGACATCAGAGGGACAAAACAAGTTTAATAAGTTAGACTAGTGAGGGACCTTGCCACTCACAGAGAGACATGCCAATTAGTAAAAAAAAAAAAAAAAAGATTGTAGCATCTATTCCAAAGAATACATTCTTAAAGCATAAAGAGCACTTAAAAATTATAAAAAAAGGTGAATACCATAAGAGAAAAATGGTCACAAGAGAAGACACTCCTATCGGCCAGCAAACAGATGGAACAACTCACCAGCACAAATCAGAGAAGTGTAAATAAAACCACAAAACTGAAAACACTTACACAAAGGCTTTTAATCAAGAATTTGGGACTGTTGCAAGGCAATCACAGTAAGAGTGTGATTTAATATTCCATCCAAATTCTAAAATATTTTAAAAGAAATGCCATCCCATAAATGTATGGAAACTAGAATAATTTCTTCGGAGCTATTAGACTTTAATGCTAAGATAAAAATGATTCATAATTAACACTTTTATCCCAATAAGCATCTCTTCAGTGCTCATTTGTTCTCAAACTTAGAAACCTTAAGATCAAATCAAATTATCACATCATCTTCTTAGAGGTAGTACCTTTTTAAAGAATAACACATACACACAAATTCCAAAGCAAATGGATGCCTTACAGCTGTATTTGGAAACTTCCATTGGTTCTGACCAGCAGGCTGGAGGAGGCTGGGTGTGGCAGGAAAAAGGTGTTCATGTGAGCATAAGGGAACACCGCTCCAGAACAGACTCTGTTATTGTAGGTTCATCGCTGCACTTATATAAACAGTTGTGCGTGTTGCCTGTGCACACACGTGTCTTAGGAAGAAAAAAAGGATTGGGGAGCAAAGGCATCAATACATGATTTGAATTTCACCATTCAAGAGAAAAGGATGTCAAATGCTGGCTGGAAACTCAGCAGCTGGGCTCGTAGGAACCCTTCACCCAGGAAAGCCTTCAGCTGAAATAATGAGAGAGAGAATTGAGCATCTCTTGTTAAAGATCAACTTTCCCATGGAGCAAAAAGAACTCCAGGGCAGTGAGACAAAAGAAATGCCTCTTAATCATGAGTGTCATTCATAAAATGTCCTTTGTCTATTCAGAGCAATTTTAGTCCTTGGGTCTGTGGGCCAAGAGTAGAAAAGAAGAAGGAATTTTTATCAAGTTACGCTTTCAATGAACTGAACATTCTATGAAAGAATTCAAACTAACTTCATTCAGTACTTAATTTGTTTAAAGCAAGGGTGGTTTTATTTTGCTTTTTAAAGTTAGAGGATGCCATATAGTAAGTGATTTTGCTGCACTCCAGAAAACATTTTTTAAGTGGATGGTCTGTTAACTGAGTTCAAACCAGGAGTGGAAGAAAAGAAAATAGGATGCTTAGTTTTTTAATGAAGACTGCTTGCCTAGCAAAGGGATATTCCCCCTTGAGCTTGATAACTACATTCAACATTTGGGACTTCCCTGGTGGCACAGTGGTTAAGAATCCACCTGCCAATACGTGGGACACGGGTTCGAGCCTTGGTCCGGGAAGATCCCACATGCCGCGGAGCAACTAAACCCGTACGCCACAACTACTGAGCCCATGAGCCACAACTACTGAGCCTGTGAGCCACAACTACTGAGCCCGTGAGCCACAACTACTGAGCCTGCGAGCCACAACTACTGAAGCCCATGCACCACAACTACTGAGCCCGCGTGCCACAGCTACTGCAGCCCACGCACCTAGAGCTCGTGCTCCACAACAAGAGAAGCCACCACCCCCCACAACTAGAGAAAGCCCGAGCGCAGCAAAGAAGACCCAACGCAGCCAAAACAAAAAAAAAATACATTCAACATTTGCTGAGATCGTGGTCATAAATCCTTAGCAGGAGCCCCCAGCAACCAGCCAAAAAGGGAGGCAACCCCTTTGCAGGCACTGAGGTATTCAGTTATTGCTAACTAGGGAAAGCCTTTCCCCCCACCCCAGATGAAAAATAAATGCATATGCTCGGGAGCCTCATCCAGAACGTCGATTGGCAACACTGGATTAGGACCCTCAGTGCAAAAAGAAGGCTCACGGAACAAGAGAATTTACTCTAGAGGTTTCCTTCCTCTCTGCATAGCAAAAAAGCTGTGATCAGATATTTATTAGCTGTGACTTTGGGTGAGCCATCTAAGCATGGGAAGAATAAGGAATCTTAAGGCAAGGGCCAGATTGCTCACTTAGGCACTGTCTAGATATGAACATCTGCCCTTCAGTTAAGCACATAAGTCCCCAAGCACCCCCTCGCTCTTGCTCCTGGGCTGTGTGCTCACTTATTTTGCAACTGCAGTTAGTCATGGAATTTCTTCCAGAGCCACTCGAGTCTGGAGAGGGAACCCGTGACCAATGAGTCAGATTTGCTTTAACTTGTGAAAAGGGTTATTTGATGAGTTGAGATGGTGCTCCTACTAGGTCAGGATTAGCTCCGATCATTGCGGTAGAGGGTGAAGAGGCCACTTCTAGTTCTCTCCCGAGTCCTGGAATTCAACCTGCAATCTCACCCCACCCATCCCCTCCTCCTCTGGAAACCTTTCTCATCGGCACACAGGGTCATTCATCTAGTGCTAATGCAGAAAAGCCAGAATCAGGGGCTGTGAGGTCTCTCTTTAGTACAGCTCTGGGTGCACTAGAAGGTTCTATTGGTTATCTTGGCATCCTTAAGTACATTACTGATCTCCCCTGCAGGCGATAACCCCAACCGTAAAGGAAGAGGTTGAACTCTGTGTCGTCTGTGAGGTCTGTGGTCAGAGGCAGTGATTCTAACCATTAAGCAGACAGCAATCTCAAAACTAAATGGACAGTGAGATTGATTTTAAAAAGAAGGAGGCCCTGCTTTTGGACATTCTGATTCAGTAGGTGGGTTAGAGCCTGCTAATTAGCATTTTTAGAAATCTTTCCATGTTATTCTTCTAGGTCTAAACGATATTCTATTGACCCAAATGCATTAATTCATTGTATGAAATGGCACCAGGAAGAATCAGGTTCATTATTGAAAAGGCAAAGTGTACACTCCCCATCCAGCATACCTCAGTGGGATACCAGGGAGGGGCTGCCTGCTTCACCTTTTTATATGCCCATCTTCCTTTCTTTTACAATGGAGATAACCAGGCAGTTGTATGTATGTAGAATGGTTTGTGTTAAGCCAGAATGACAAGCCCCCTAAAAAGAAAAAATACCCAAAAGAAATGAAAAGAAAATAATCTGACTGAAGCTGGCCAGTTAGGTCTGCCCACATGATTTCCATGTTGAGGTCTGACTCAGTCTTTCCTTTTCAGCCAGCACGGTCCGGCCAGAAGATGACGTGACTACAGGTGTGGAAAATAGCAAGACGGCCCTGGGTATGGATGATTACACGACCCCAAGTGCCGGTGGAGAGCCCCATAAGTCTGCTGGCTTGACAGCTCTGGTGAGTGAGCACATGCAGGGATATTTATTATATGTATGTGATCACATGCAAGGTTATTTATTATATGTATGTGATCACATGCAGGGATGTTTATTATGTGTATGTGATCACATGCAGGGATATTTATTATATGTATGTGATCACA